AGAAATAATCTGAATAATGTCAGGGAGTTTGGGACTGAGATGGGAGAAGATTGGTAATGAGAAAGCACATCAATGAATATGGGGCAGAGAACATTGCTAGCACTGAGAAAGCAACGTGAATTTAATAGAGAACATTTCACAACAAATGAGGAGTAATCATAGTGGTCAAATATAAAAATGTTTAAGTTTTCCATTCACTTTTTCTGAAGACAACTACTTTCCACAGGAACTCAAAGTAATCATGGGCTTTTACAACAGAACCAGTCTGAAAAATAAGTAGTTCTAGTTAGTCATTCAAATACATGTAAGTAGTAGCCATCTCTAAGCACTCATGAATAAAAAGTGGCACATTCTTCTTCTAGTGGAACAGACAAGTTTCCTCTCCTCTCTAGCCTTGGTAACGATATCATGTTCTTCTGCCAACACAGGTCTGCAGTAAGCAGAAGATCTCATTGAAAATGCAACCACAGAGCACAACACATGCTGATCAAATTATTTGGCTTTCAAGTTGTGTAGAAGAGCTTATAAATTAAGTTTGGCACACATCAGATAGGCAATAACTAGTGGCAACCATGCAGTTACATGAAGACAAAGTACAAGATAGAGTGGATGAACAGAGTGAATGAGGTGACATAATTGAGCAACGTGAATAAAGGGGATAGAAAAGGAATTTAATAAGTTAAATGGGCATGAGTTAGCATGTGTAGGAGTAACTGATTGCCCTTTCCAATAGTCAGGAGTGATTTTCTTTTTTAATTGGATCATGCTTCTTCACTGCCAAATTGGATGCCATTTTTTTGCCCTTCTCTAGAACAAAATGTTTAAAATAAGTTTTAAAATATTTAATAATGCAAAATGGAGATACAAGAGTAATCATCAGAAAACTCCTGCCACAGAAGAACTGACTCAACTCTGTCCCTAGAAAGCCTCGTAATACTTTACCCCTGCCAAAGGAGATATTGGGTAATAGTTTCCAAGACACTAAAGCAATTAAGGTTGGCATACATGCTGATTTTGCACTTGTCTACTTATGTCCATCCTGCGAATTGTTTTCCTTCTCTTTCCTTTGTCAAACCAGAATATTGATCTTAATGCCATGCTAAGACAGATATCTGTTGCACATGTGAGGGCTTTTATTTTTGTTTTTTAACAAGAAAGCTGCTTTGGTACAACAGGAAGTATGTTGAAATAAAGTACATACTGCAAAAATTATGTTAATATGACCGTAACAGAACAGTTGAACAGAGCAGTCCGGCCTGCACATCAAAGATCTAAAGTGCTATGTCTAATTCTGGAGCTTAACTTAGCATTTTAGTACTTAAATCGTCCATGAGCTATTGAAAATATTCAACATTGATTTAACTGTTAATTCCAGGCTTAACAGATTGGGGGTGGATTATATTTTTAGAAGTGTGTTAATTTTGAAAACAGTTAATGATAATAATAATAATAATAAAAGAGGTTGCTCAATTATCCTTTTGACTTCTATTTTGTTCACTATCTGTTAGCACTGGGATGAGACCTGTGGGCAGTACCTAACCTCCTGCTCTGCAATACACCTCACATAATCACAATAAAAACTGTACTTCTCATCTCAAATAATATTTTCAGGAAAGGAACTAAAAATCCTCAACAACAGAAACAATCAGTCCCTTCTGCACTGCAGAAATTTGTGGATACTTAAAAGCAACAGGAACCCAAAGACATTGCATTCAGTACTTCTGATGAAAGTTTCTCCCATGTTGCTTTTCTGACCTGGGTAGAAAATGTCTATCTCATACTTTAAATAAACAGTCCATTGTCTTCCTTGTGACAAGTGGTCTTGGAAATGTTCATATAGCCACAAGGAATAAAACTGTCATCTGCTCTCTTGAAGACTATGGAGTATTTATGCCATACAACAGTCATCCTGACGTAGTCTTCAGGCTTTGTTGAATTCATGACCTCAAACACATTTGATTTTGGGAGGCACTAAATTAATTTGGCATCTGGGACAGCTTGATCTTAACAAAGATTACCAACAGTACCATTTTAACTTTCTGCATGTGGGTGAACTAATTTTTCTGCTTGCAGATGAACCACTTTCTGTGCTTAACAGTTCTGATCTTTTTTTTTCCTACACAGCTGAAAGGTTTTTTGTTTTTGTTTTTGTTTCAAGAGATAGCTGTGTCCCGAGCATGGGTAGGACATAGAGAAACGGGATTCTTAGTTCTGATGCTAATGCTCTCTACCCATCAATCTGAAGCACTCAGATATTCCTGCCCACCCAGGTATCTGGCACTGGTAGTTAGTATGGGACATAGAGAATTAAAAACCACTTCTGAAAGTGTTAAACCTTGAACTTTTATTTCATTTTCTCCATCTGCAGGATGCAGGCATTAGTAATTTACTCTAGAAGCCAATTCACATGTTGGTTCCCCCACTTCTGACAACACTTATGTGAAAACTCTCAATATTCTGGAACAGGTCATTTATGCTTGAACCTGAATACAAAAGATGTTGCTCTTAAAGTGGATGATATCTTATGAATTGAGCCAAAAATACAAAATTCACACAAACTCTTCTTGACTCAGAAAAAAGTGATTCCATCCTCTCTGCTCCCACACCACCTGCCAATCTCAACACCTCAAACAACCCATTTCCCAACCTCAATCTAGATGAGTTTAAGATTTGCATGCAAAAATTCACCATGTGCTTCATAATTTTTTTTTTTCCTTCCAAAATAGTGGTAATTAGACCTGGATCTCAATCCAAACAGCAGATGTTGGGATTTCCATGCTGAAGAAGGCTGCCAATGACCCAGAGGATCCTCTCTTAGTAATCACAGTGTTGCCACACACGTACAGAATCTGTTAAGAAGAAACTGCAGTGCATGGAACGCTCCTGTAATCTCAGAACAAGTCTGTGCAGGTAGTCTCCTCATAGTGAAAAAGGCTGCTATATTTTGGAAGGTGAAGAAAAGGGAATTTTCTATGGAGGGAAAGACACAGCAAGTGCAGTGCTTATAACTCACTCAGTGATGTTGATAATGTCTCAGGGACAGCAGTTGGGTGGGACCTAGAGGTTCAGCTACCTAAAACTCTGCATTTATGTGATACTTAATAGAGTAACCTCAAGACAGTTTCTCCATTTCACACTGGACTGGTATCTCATTGTCTAGATTAGATATTTGCTAGTGTGCACCAGGCTCCCTGCCTATGTTCTGCTGCAAATTAATTACTTAATGAGGAAATCCACAAATGGACCCTTAGATAGGTTACACTGATACTGAAATCATATAAACAATATGGATATGAATTACATGAGATGTGGCTCTCTCAGCTTCCTCTAGTCCTCTAAAAGCATCCAGCAATGATTACTGCCCTCGCAGATGATATATATCAGAGGGATGAATTTCAAGCAGGACCTAGAGCGAAGGGATAGTTTTCTTCTGTTGAATGTTCTTGATTACATGCACAAGGGACATAACTCATTACTACTCTTGAAGTCTTGGGACACTTTTGAGCAGACAAAACCCCCTTTGCCTTGAAGAAGATAGGATGTTCTCTAAAAGAACAAGGAGTATAAGGCTAGTATAAAGGTAGTTCAGCCCATGCCAGAACCACTCTCAGAGCACATCCCACAGTCAGCAGCATCTCATCAAGAGTGCTGCAGTCCACAGATGTTTAAATCTGAGCATTTTCCCCTTACCACTGAGCATACACACAACTAGTAAGTGCCAAAAAAACTGAGAGAATGAGATGGAAAGAACAACAAAACCTTTGTTTACAGTCAGGAATTAAGTGGGTGCTGGAGTAGACTAAACTTTATGAGACAATTCCTGCCAAAAAAGATTTCGCATTCTGCACTAACTAAAGGTATTGCAGTGTATGCAATTGTATGAAACAAATGACTACATTAAGACTAAATAATAGTACCATTAATTTCTTTTATTAATGATTCAGCTCCTCCCACAGAGATTCTCACCTTCCATTTAAAAAGTTTCTACCCTATATGGTTGTGGAGAAAAAGCCTGAAGACGCAGCTGTGATATGATCTACTGGATCAGAAAACACACCAAAGAACCTCACAGTTCTATTAAATCAAATGAATCACTTTTGAGCTTACATCACAGCATTTATGGTAACCTGATTCAAGGTTTTTGAATGACTGGGCTTAGAAATACTTTAACATATCAAACTAGCAGGCTCCCCAAATAAAACTAAACAAAGCTCTCTCCATGCTCTTCTGGAGATTAACTCCTTTCCTCTTTCTGCATCACTCATTACTATGAACAAGGAAAGCAATGACAACTTTCAACTAATCATCTTTCCAAAAGTCCTGTACATCCCATCTAAAACTCTCAAGATAAACAATATAATCCTCCCATGCTGTGATGTACATATTCCACAATAGAATTACCAGATTTGTAGTTACTCATACCTTTACTGTAAATAAGAAAATGAATTTTAAACTATTAAAAGTTGCTTGAGGACTTCCTTAGATGCATTAGGAATAATTTAAGCAGATAAGACATAAAACGTGACTATATCATTGCCCTGTGTTCTGTTGATTCTAAATTGCGCCTAGCTGTCTGCATCACATAAAAAGAAGATGCAATTTTAATGAAGTAGCTCTTCTCCCCAGAACCAACACAAATGATCATAGAGCATTTCCACCAAGATCAGAAATATATGATGCCAACAGTATACCATGACTTTGCAATTGCTTAAAGGATCTTTTGCTCAAAATTTTGAAACTCTTGGATCTCTCACTTCCATTATTTATGAAGATTGCACAATCACATCTGACATGCCATGGAACTTTCATTGCCCTCTGCTCAGGTCTGGTCATCCTTTGATTAATATCATGTTTACCACAAAGCTACATTCATTTGAAAAAAGACTTCCCCACCACACCAAAAACAATCTGCATCATATGCCATGTTCAACGTTGCTTTACAAATTACTCCATTCTCATTCCACAGACATACATATAACAAAAACAATGATGTTACTCACTAGGAACTCCAGACACCAGTCGTAAGGGACGTAACACTCGGAAAGCCCGCAGTGCTTTAACATCAAATCCGGCACCTTTTCCTCCTATTGAATTCCCCCCATCTGCTTTGGTTGCTTGTTCTAAAATTGCACTAAAAAGCCTGTAAAAAGAAAAGAAACGAGCTGTAGGCAGACAGCAAGGCTTGGGCTAAACAAGAACAGAGATCATCATCGTATCACATGAGCTATCTCACAGACCTGTGAAGAGTGCCACACATGTCACTCAACATTCGCATATGGTGAAGGAGAGACAGACTCTTCCCATATGCAATAGCCTAACGGTGATGTCTGCACCATTTGCAAAACACGGATTTCTGGAACAGACATAAACATGATGCGTTCCTCCTTCAGCCCAATGGTTCCTTTCGGCCAGCTGTACCTGTCTGCCTGTTGGCATATGAAGGTGCGCTCCCTGCACTGGGTGCTTTGAAATGACCATCTTGGCAGTGTCTCATGATGAACGTGCATGTGGTCAGGTTTTGAAGGCAGCCTACAGTAAGGACATACTCATGGGAAGTTGAGTGGAAAGGCAAGAAACCACAAGTTGTTACCCCTTCTGCTGTTAATATTTTGCTATCTTTATTAACCACCCATGCACTCTAGGGAAGGAATCATCATTCATCATTAACTCAATAATTAATTATCTGTCACTCATTTTACAAGGAATTAAAATTCACCAAGGTCACCGCAGGTAGAACTGGGTTTAAAAATTAGGGCTCCTTCAAGGTGCACATTTTTAGATAAGAGAGTATGCTCAGATTATATGTTTGTGTACCTATTTGTAAATCCCTTGATGCAGTGGCTATGGAAAGTGCAAAACTGTAGGAGACCTATTAGAATATTTTATTAGACCAGTCCAAGTGTTTTATCTTGGCTAGTAGGAGTAGCTGTTTAAGGAGAAGATGTCTCTATTAAAACACATTTGAAAAGGCAGAGCAAGGCAGGAAAGACAATTTTCTTCTATGAAAAGGATGAAGGCTCACCCTATGTATTAATAAGTGTTTGATTTAATAAATTGGCTGTCAGGAAGCAGCTTCCATGTTTCTGGTAAAACACTGGAACCTTTGGGGGAGTACGGATTCCTCATGACTTTGCTAATGACATTGCTTTCAGCCTCAAAGTCATCGGCTTGAACCTAGCCAAATTCAGTGAAGGTTAAAAGCTGTTCCGTCTAAATGGGTGTTTGGCACTCTGCAGAAGACTTTGCCTGCAAGTGGCAGAGACTCCATGGCCCACAGCATGCCATGGAAGCACCAGATGTAACTTTAAGAAGCTGCCTGGGATGCAGGCAGCAGTCTGGATGAAGTGCCCTGGATTGAGTGCTGGCTGATTTGTCTCCCAGACATCGCAGTCTGCAGTGCCTCTGTCAGGATCTCATTATCTACATTCTTAACTGGCAGACTCCACAGAGAGCCCCCAAACTGCATGTAAAGCAGAGACTGAGCTGCCTGATTGCTTTGCAGGGAGCTCTGCAGTCTGCTTACAGCCTACTGATAGGGCTGCAAATATAGGGAGCTTGCCCTGAATAGAAAAAGGATTCATTTACTGAAGCATCTAAGCCAACACTTTTCCCCAGCACTAAAACCAGAGAAAAAGATGGATTAGTGAGATGCAAATATGAAATTAGTTTCTTAAGCAGCTTGGGTTTTTTCCTTTTTTTAATTTTATTTTAAATTTTATATAGAGAGTCTAATAAAACTTGTCATCTGTGACTGAGGAACTCCTAACTGGATCTATTGAAAGCCTCAACTTCAGGCACTGCAGAGAGATTTAACAACTAGGTAACAAGTGTGGGAAAAACTGCGGGGGGGGAGGTTGGATGCTGAGGCTGTAGGTGTTGCAGACTGTGAAGCAGGATGCAGAGAAGACAAAAACAGAGCCTATCAGAAATACTGACTTGACTACAGACACCACAGAGAGCGATAAACAAGGGCTGATGTAAGGAACATGAATTATTGGAATGTATGTATTCCTTGAGCTGTATATACAGATTATGCAGAGTGGCAATTTTCTGCTGGTCTTCATAATAGAAACACTGTAGGTCAAATTTGGCTTAATATATTTTCAGAAAGCTAGTGATTAAGCTCTAGAAATGTGCTCTACTTTTTATTTAAACATTTCTATCTTCCTAGTCAACACAATTCCCATACTAGATGATGACTGACGTTCCCATACAACAGTCCCAGTCCCCTGGGATCCTCTGGAAGAAAAAGAATTCACTGTAGAAGGTTTCTTATGCTGTTTCTTAGCTGTCTTGCAAGGTTGAGAAAAAAATGTAACAGAACTCTGGATAAGCAATTATGCACGAGTGAGGGTCCAGTTGCCTTTGTCCCCAGTATCGTTGGACCTACGTTCTACCAAACAGCAGTTTGTGGCAGCTGGCATCAAGGGCATTTCTCCTGCCACTCATGCAGCAACTAAACCATGGACTGCTCTAGAATTCTGAATCCTAAGAAAAGCTACACATGTTCTAAATTAATACAAAAGATACAAAAACAAGACAAAGCAACTAATTTTTCTGGATTTAGAACCTGCTTTCTCAGAACAGTGCAGCTCTGCTGCAGACCTTGTAACCCTTTTGTGTACTCCCATAGTGACATGCTAAACATGCTATCTTGAGGTACCCACATGGAACTGCCTACTTCATCAGGAATAACTTGCAGCTATTGTTGCTTTTAAAAACCCACATTTAATTTCAAATTGCATTACTCCCCCTAATCCTGCTTTAACACATTTGCCCCATGCTTAATATCTCCCTGTGCACGAATTCTGCTTTTTACCAATGCAATACAATTTTTTTCTTTATTTATTTTACTCTTCCCTCTTTATACTGGGCTCTCCACTGTGTCCAATATGGCCTACTGAATCTCTATTCCTCTCTCCAAATTTAGATGACACCCTGCCCTATCTGTCCTTCCTTGCTCCTCCTGAGTTAGAGCAGGGGCAGCTCTATGGCTCATAGGATACATCCACCACATGCTTTTCTGGCTGTAACTTTGTTATGACCCAGAGGGAAAAATAAGACCTGTTTAGAAATTCTGCAGATGAGGAGACACAGAAGAAAGGTAGGGATTCTGACTGCCTCTTCCATCATCCTAAAAGAGGAAAAACCACAACCCATATACAGTTTGTAGTTTCTACAATCTCTATCTAGTCTTCCTAGTTTGTCAGCTAATTGCTTTTCAGCCCTAAAAGAGACAGATAGATGTTAAGCTACTGGTATAAACTATGAGGCCAGAGTCCTTCTAGTTTGTATTTACAGAGGGGGAAAGTCTGCTCTTTGATGAAAATCTGTGGGAAAAAGTACTGTGGAGCAAAACCCTGTTCTTTCTGTCTCTTCTCAGTGAGAGAGTTAGATGAAATGCAGGCTGCAAGCAAGGTGTGAGAGGATTCTTTGCACACACAGAAATCAAAGTTCAGACGAATGCAAGCAGGCTGAGCTCTTGTGGCCACTGAAAATCTTCACTTTTTTTTTCTTTCCTATTTTTTGAAAGAATTCAGAAATTGATCTTATTTCCTTCCAGCTAACTACTTTCTTCCATGCTAAACTCTTGCCCTATTTTCATTAGGATATAGTATTTCCACTGCAGCAGTGCAATTAACATCTTGATTTCTGAATTTCATCTGTGACTTGACTACACCTGAACTAAATACATTTGATAGGCATGTAAAGCAGAAAACATATTTCTATCACACACAATGCGTGCACAGGCACAGTCCACCTTTGTTTGTTTGATTCAGACCTACTCATGACACACGAAGCTGGCGTCACTGTTTCCACTTTCTCATATTTTTCTGTTTCCTTTCTGATATCTGAAACATCTAAAAGGTTTTCTCTTTGCTAGATGATTCTAACAGCAGCATGACAGGGCTGCAAACACTCTACAACTTTTCAGTTCCTCTGTGAGGAAGGCATGCTGGTTTTTAGAGCATAAAAAAGAACCTGTCAAGGGCCTCCAGAATATAAGAAGGAAACAGAAAGCTTGGTATTCATAAGGCCAAAATCAGCAGAAAAACACAGCTGAGAGAGTCCTCATAGGTATAAATAAATAGTAAGCTATAGTGATTTTTATTTTCACTGTGCTTTGCAATTCGCCCGTGATTTATGAGTGTGGAAGCGTTCGGGCCTACCCTCTAGAAACTCCCCAGAGGCCTTCAGGAAGACATACTGTGAGCACGTTTTCCAATCTGTTCTGAATTTCAGATCTTTTCCAAATACCTTCGCTGATTACCTTCCCAAGTAAGCCTGCCTTTCAAATTATGACACCTTTTTACTGGCAGAAGCTATGGGTCCTTGGAGAATGACGTGCTTGGCAGACAAATCACAGCATTGCCAGGAAAGACAGATAGTCTTCTAACACAACATTGTCAAGTTAGTCTTTTCTCAAGAGAAATTTCCTCCAGCAGCCTAATGATTAAGGACATCACTGTTTTATCTGAAAGTTTTATGTTTTCCAAAAGAAGAACAATAAAATTACAGGAAACACGAAACAATTTGACTAATTGTCAGTGCTTGTGGGTTGTGCCTCGTTAGGCAGCTTATGGGTGTGATCTCTACTCTTAACTAATAATATTCTTATCCACAGAGCCTCTGATTGATGCCCACAGACAGACATTTTTCTTCAAAGTAGTACTTAATGATATTGCTATAGCAGGGTCATAGGCTATTTAAAGACAAGCTAGAATCAAGCTTTAAAAGACTTAACTGATGAATAAGCAGATCTCCTACACTGCAAGAACGATAAGCTGTTATAAGCCATCAGGTCTAAAGAGTATCCTTTCTCCTGAAAACACAGCAGTTGAGCAGTTGTCTTCACTTCCTCCTAAAATTTACACTTGGTCCTACACATGACCATGTTTCTCTTATTCTACCAACTTGCATGTTTTAAGGTAAAGGAAAACAGTTATGCTGCTTTATCTTCTCAAGATATACCAAATTATAATTTAATTGATCTAATGGGTCTTAATTGATCTAATGGATGGGGCTTTGAGCAACCTGGACTAGAGGAGGTGTCCCTGACCGTAGCAGGGCTGTTGGAACTGGATGATCTTAAAGGTCCTTTCCAACCCAAACCATTCTATGATTCTATGATAATTATAGAGTCATTTAGGTTGGGAAAGACCTGTAAGATCATCAAGTCCAACTACCACTTATGACAACCAAGACTAAACTGTGTCTCTAAGAACCATATCCATGCTGCACAAATACCTCAAGGCATGGAGACTCGACCACTTCCCCTTGGGCAGCCTATTCCAATGCCTGAGCACCTTCTCCATGAAGAAATTCTTCCTGGTATCCCCCTAAACCTCTCCTGGCACAACTTGAAGCTGTCTCCTCATATCCTATCACTTCTCACCTGAGAAGAGAAACCGTCATTTCCTTGCTGTAATCTGCTTAAAGGTAGTTGTAGAGGGTGATGAAGTCTCCTTTGGCTTCCTCATCTCCACACTAAACAAGCCCAGCTCGTGTAGCTGCTTCTCATGTCTCTTGTTTTCTCACCTCTTCACAGCAACTCCATACCCTTCCTGTTGTGAGGGGGCCCAAAACTGAACATAATACTGTCAAGACCTTGGTCTCACCAATGGCCCATATAGAGGGAACATCATAAGTACTAAGCAGTGTATACTAAGTGGATTGAGAGATGAACAAAGTCTCTAAAAACCTGTCTTTTCCTTTGTTCCCTTAGCTTTCATCAATACATGAAATACTTCCCAAATAGACTTTCTAGAACAACCATCACTGAAAATGAAAATGAGGCCTGAGGCAGAACAAGCACAAACAGCAGTTATCATACTTATTTTTTTGATGCTTCTATTATTACTGTCATGCTGTTCCCCACCTCCCAGGCCAGATAACCCCCTCCACCCAGTGCTACAACAGTGCCCAAATCATTCAGCTTTTTCCAATAGCTTCATCAATGGCCAGAAAAAGGTGCCACAAAGAAATGCTGACACAAGTCTTTATTTCTGCATTTTTCTTCCACCTCACTTTCCCTCTCTTGTATATTTTTTTTCCCCATGGGGCTACTGCTCTCACAAACTATTGAAATGTCACTGAAATTTAAACATGATGTCACTGAGGTGTTTCAGACAGCCCCTAGGAGAACACGATGGGGCAGAACAAAAACAGATGGCATTGCCACATAGATTTTGCAGAGGGCTTATGGAGAGAAAAAGCAGCACACCAGGTTAGGCTGCGGCAGAGTAGGAGAGAATTCAAACAGATCAACATCAAACGGACCTATCTGGCCTTGAAGTGGAATCTGTCACTTGAGATTGTTGCTATTTAACAGAGACCATGGGGTCTTGGCCATGTTTATTATGCTGTGTAATCCCACCCCAGTTACATTTTTTGTTCCCCATCTAGAGCCTGAGAGCTGCTGGAGGCAAAGAGCGGGTACAAGAGCTGAGAGATGCAGCTTCTGTCTTTATTGGCAGGGGAATTAATTTCAGCCTGTATATCATCTTGCTGATTAACTGCCTTGGGAGGAAAATTGAAAAGGACTGTACTTAAACTAGATATAATGCCACCCTGTGATTTCTGGAGTCTTGCTCTCTAGCATACCAATGGAGGAAGAAGAGGTAACACATGACCTCTCCTTAAAAAGTCTTTCTCATAGAGATGAAAAGCAAATAATCATATTCATAGGAGTTCTGTTCTCCAATATTTCTTCACCAAGCAGCGATCCCACGGCATGTGAGATGTCTGAGGACATTCAAAGGCAGAACCAGCTACAGAATTGGACAACAATAACGGGGGAGGGGTTGGGGATTTGCCAATTTTCAATTACTAATTCGCTGTGCAATCTTCTGGCAGCGGGTAGGAATGAAGGGCAAAGGAAACTGGGCACTGCTGCAAATGGAAGAGCTATGCCCACTTTGAGTGGGCAATATCTTGGGAATAACAACTGGTGCTGACCTGTTCTCTCTCCCCTCAGTAGAAACTCTTTCCGCCCAATTTTCAAAGAATCATAGAATGGCATGGGTTGAAAAGTATCTTAAAGGTCATCTCATTTCAACCCCCCTGCCATGGGAAGGGTCGCTAATCACCAGACCAGGCTGCCCAGAGCCACATCCAGCCTTGCCTTGAATGCCTCCAGGGATGGGGCATCCACAACCCCTCTAGGCAATCTGTTCCAGTGTGTCACCACATTTCCCCCAGAATGCTGAAAGCAGTAGAGAACCAGTAGTACAGAGCAGAAACAGTTTGCTGAAACAGTTATTTGGGACCGTCCCAAAAATGGTCAATTTGAACTCTGATTAGAAGCAAAAATTATAAGGAGCACTGATGACTCAGAGTGCCCTTTTTAATGCTTTATCTGGGAGTTGTACTTAAAGGGAGCTTAGTAACAGAAGACAGAACAACTTTTTACACAGCTAGATAGTGATAAGAGAAGAGGGAGTGGTTTTAAAATAAAAGAGGGGTGATTTAAGTTAGATGTTAGGAAGAAATTTTTCACTCAGAGGGCAGAGTGAAGCCCTGGCACAGGTTGTCCAGAAAAGCTGTTGGTGCCCATCCCTGGAGAAGCTCAGGGCCAGGTTGGATGGGGCGCTGGGCAGCCTGAGCTGCTGGGTGGCAGCCTGCCCATGGCAGGGGGTTGGAACTTGGATGACCCCTTCCAACCTAAACCACTCTATGATTCTGTGATTCTGATGAAGAGTTTCCTTGGGAAAGAGGTGGAAAGACTAAAAGTTTTTGTGGGCGATGATATTCTGTAATAATGGAGCTGTGGGAGGGTGGGACCAATTACTGAGGAGAAAAAATACCTTCTCTCTTTGTCTTCGGGATAGTTTATTCTTCATTCCTTCCATTCAACAATCACAAATCAAAAACCTTATTTATCTCTTACACTCAGCAAGAAAAAAAGTGGAAGGTTCTTTATTTTGTTTTTATTCAAATATATTAAATGCCAAGCTTGAAAAACACAGAGAAGAGACAGCAGCTTCAAGTGGAAATGTGATCCATGATAGTAAAACTAGTCTTTAAAAAGGTTAAAGTATTAAAATTGTCCAAATCAAAAGCCTTGAGATCACTATGAGAACAGTGTGATTGAACTACAGAACCTTTTTTTGTTGTTGTTTCTGAAAATGAAAACCTGAGATTTAAAATTTTTATCTTTCTTTGCAAAAGAGTAGAAGTTCACAAGAACACAGAACTTATTAAATCCCATTGTTAATTTATGAATTCTACATATATATTTTTCTTTAATATTCACACAGACTTGCAAATAAAGGGATTTTCTTCTACCATAATTGTGTTAAAGCACTTTACTTGCACTGCTTGCTTTTTTTATCCACTACAAAAACAGCAGTTATCTTGCAAACCACTGAAAGTTTTTGGAAAGTCTAAGTAGCAAGGGATACCAGAGAAAAAATGTATATCAACTGGATGTCAATTCCTATTTATTTACCTTAAGGTAAGTCATTGCTACACACTGAAATCAGCATGAATCAAGTTACACCTATAGAGGACCAGCAGGAATTAACTGTATTTTTAGATTGTGCAGTAACACTTGGTAGAATGTGTGGTAGAGAGAAAAAGATGGATGGCAACCCCTCACACCACCATTAAGGGATGTTCCAACCCTCATACACCTTCATGCTCCCAAAGGTTCCCAGTGGCCCAAGGTATACAGTGCATTCAAAGACATGATGCTGGTACTCACCCTACTACCACAATTATAAAATCTAGTAAATTCCAGCCATTGCGGAGGTAAGCGTTGGGGTGAAAGAGAAGTCCATATGCTATTACTTTTAAAAATGCTTCCACTGTAAAAATTATGAGAAAGAGATATTCCACTCGTTCCTGGAGAGAAAAGAGAACAAGAAAGACAATGGTTAGCATGGGTAACAACACTGGACAAGGACAGTTTCTGCTGTCACATTCCACCCACACAGCCTCCAGCTCACTATCTCATCACTTGGGTACATCTAAAATCTGTGACTTGCCAGAGGGCTTCCCTCCTCAGACTTGCATATTCTGCAGCCAGTCTGACAGGACGATGGCAGTAAATTTTGGTTAGGCATTTGCTGCCTTTGCCTTGGTAGGGACTGACCACTGCACAAGTGTGTGCACAGGAGGGCAGGTGGTCCACAAGCATGTGCCAGCACCAGCTCTCTGCAGGAAACACTGCCAAGTGCTGTCATTCCCCTGAATGAACTGTATCCAGGTCTTTTCTACCTCTGGAGAGAAAGTGTTGCTGGATGCAGTGCTGCAGAGAAGGACAGGGAGAAATTCACTGATGAGTGTTTCATACAACGCCTTTTTTGGGATTCCTTTTTTCTATTGCTGGGAATAGGTAGGCTATTGGTTTGTCACCAGTTTCTGATTTTTGGATCAGGCTGACTAACACATGAAGCATTTAGTCATTTCATCAGAAATGTACATGTCCCTGTGAAATGAAGGCTGAAATTTAAGCACATCCAAACAAAGTCACTTCTAGTGATGATACAGTCCTATTCAGGACAAACAAGCAGCCTTCAGGAGACAGCACATAGGCTCTCTGTCCTTCATCTCTGGGTTTTCAGCCCCAGAGCGAAATAATAATAGTAGCTTTGCAGAAGTAATTGGGACCTCCATCTATTAGGAAGGAAACAGCAGCATTAGCTAATCACTACAGAAGTGCTGTGTGGCAAGCTGGGTGGGAAATAAGTACGTGAAAACAAGACGACAGCAAAGGGAGACTAGGCCCCTTTTGAGTTTAAGCTGCAAAGTCAGTTATTTAGAGTATTTCTCACTCAAGAAATAAAAATCTCAAATAGAAATTAAAACAGTCTAGATAGTCTTGGTCATATCCTGTAGGATATGCAGCAAGACAATCAGGCAGGCAGCTCAGTACTTTGTCTTTGCAGTTCCAAACTGCAGTTGCCCTGCTCCTCTGTCTTGTGGTGCTGATAAATGCATGTATGACAATTTCATATGACACAAAAACATGAAGTGTGTGAGTTTACATAAGATCACTTCATCATTTGACTCAGTTGCCCATTTGAACTTCCTCCATTCAGATTCAGGTAATTAATAGCAACTCACTAGCAACTCATTAATCAAAAAATGTGAAACTCGTCCATTTCCATGTTTATATGAGCGTTCTTATTTTATACGCCTGAGAAATTCCACCTGATGGTAGCAGGTATATGCTTGCACTTTAAAATATTGATCTCTTCTCTCCCATAATGATACCACAACACTTGCAATAATCCCTGGTGTTTACTATGAAGAGCACCTAAAAAAGTATTGTTCTGTATTTATCTGATCCAGTCGTAAAGCTTTTGAACATGCCCACAATACAGAATTTGCCCAACACTGTCCCAGGCAGACATAGATGAGGACACCAAGATTTTTTCTCCCATTGAACTCAGAGAAGAAGAATACAGCAGCTTATATCACTAGCAACTACTGCATTAATGAGTCTCACTCCCTGTTCCATCCAAAGAATTTCCTACTGTTGTGGGCAAGGTCTTCTTCCCCTCAAAAAAGACCACCGGTAGCTCCAAGCCCACTCTCACATTCGGACTGCCCTTGAGGTTGCTGTTTGTACTCAATTCATTCTGCTCTGTAAGCAGAGAAATTGACTCATGGAGAAACGTGGATTCCCCAAACAGCCTTCTCCTACAACCTCTCTTGGCAGTCAAAGGGATTTTGAGGAGCCCCATTCTCTTGGTTACCAGCTCTAGGTACAACTTGAACCTGACTGGCTAAACAACTGAAGGGGAAGGCCTAAGGCTGACCTCGTGCTCAATGATTTATCTCTAAACATTGCCCTTGACCTCAAGAAACACTGGGACAAATACTGCTGCTGTGTCTGGCTCTGTGCACTCTGTGGCGGCAGTGCTCTGCTGTACTGCTCTGCCCAGCCAGAAGAGCCTTTCCACTCCATGAATTTCATTGAAATACCTATATTATACAACCAAAAGACCAAGAAAGCAAATACCTGAGAAAATTCTGGAAAAAAACTTATTCATTATTTAACACTGCACGCAGCAGCCAGTATTTCAGCACCTAACAGGTTCCACAGAGTTGGTTTAGGAGCCTCATACCACGCTGTCTCTGAAGATGTCTGTGGGATGATTGACTCCTGCTTTGTTGAACCATGTCACTGAGGTAATAATATGCCAAAATCCTACATGCACATGCATATATATACACATATATATATGCACGTATACATATACAGTTACAGGCTGTTTGAATAAACTCTTTACAATGCTTGGGTTACGATGGAAAGCTTCAAGAAAAGCAAAATTGTATAAAAGCCTCTGAAATGAACATAAGATACAGAATACTGAGCAGAGGAGAGAGATTTTATGATCTTCTGCACTTAAATTAATGATTTCAGGACTGAAGGAAAAATACTGCCCAACTTACACAGTGCAGCTACTCCAAGGCCATTTCAGGGAGCTGCTCCCACTCAGAATTGAGAAGAATTTGAAGAGCCTACTAATTAATTTGTGTTCCCTTTCTTCTGTACACCATAAAACTGAAAAGCTGTTATGAGCACAGCACAGCCCAGCAGTGAGGAGACAGAAGCTCCCTGTGTGCAGTCCCATTCAGAGCCCCCTGCCTGGGGAGCTCAGACATGACTCAGCCACCTGCTACCTTGTTTGGACAAGAGAGGAACACCCAGTGCATGCGGCAGCCCCAGGACCATTAACCGGCCTCTGCTAAATGGGCAGCCAATGCCACTGCTGGCTGCTCACTCCAAACTTTGCTCCCAGGAATTAGGCAGACTTGGTCCCAGTATTTCAGGCTCCCGAGGGGCATAACACCATAAAGTATCCAGAAACCCTGCTCCTCTGAGAAGGCAGTTTAGTGCCATGGCAAAAGAATCCCAGAATCGTTTGAGTTGCAAGAGACCCTTAAAGGCCATCTGGTCCAAGCCCCTGCAGTGAACAGGGACACGCACAGGCAGATCAGATTGCTCAGAGCCCCATCTAGCCTGATCTTGAGCATCTCCAGGGACTGCTGGTGCTGCCTGCAACATCCTAGGAGGGAAAGGAGATACCAGCGACACTGTCCCTTAAAAGCACATACTCAAACCACAGCATCAAAAGACAGCAAACATTTTGGAGCTGAAAAAAGAGGACGTGGTATTTTTTGATTGTGTCTTAGGAATGGGAACCATGCTGATGAGGCTTAGACTCAATAAGGTTGTTGCAGGTTGCAGAATCACAAAGCAAGAGCTTCCTGCTTGAATACTATTGATAAAAACGGTTCAAAAGAAGAAAAAAAAACTAAACCAAACTAGCAAACAGAAAGGCAAGATGAGTGGAGGAAGAGGACTGGTAAAAGTTTTCTAAAACTGGTCAGTGCCTAGAGAACACACAGGCTCCACCACTGTTCTCTTTTGTTTTATTACAGATATAGGACATGAACATCAGCTGCCCTGGCTGACACACCAGCCAGCACCATCACTGCCAAGAAACAAACTGTACATCATCTCATTCTTAAAGAAACAAACAGTAACTTGCTGCTGAGCCTCTAAGATGTATTTCCAAAAGAAGATTACTATATTAAGTACAAAGCCCCTCTAATCCCATGTGCTTTCTGAAGACGTCACAGATTTGTTTTTGTTTTTAATTTTTAAACGGTACCTAATGGCAGCCTGGGTTCACAAGAGGAGTCTGAAAACAAGAAATCGCAGCATAGCACTGTAGGGTGTCTTGGGGTTTTTCTCCTGCCATGAGAGGAGCAAGCAGACCAGTGCTGCTCCTGGGGACCCAGACATCAGAATGACTCTATCTCAGTCCTTAGCTCTTCAAACCCCATCCACCCAGCAGCACTGTTTGCAATGAGCACATCCTCATTGCAAGGGTTACCCAAGGTTCAATCGCAGTCAGAGCCTTGCATTTCGTACATCCCAATCTAGAAAGTTTACAATCTGAAATTCACTCAGCACAGGTTCTCTCAAACATCACTCTCTGTCTCTGCTAGAACTCTGCTTATCTTGTAACAAACAATTTCAAAACCCAGATTTCATGTATTTGAAGCAAAGTGCAGCAAGCTCTTCACAGATAGGACCCATCTAAAGCTGCCTGTGCGATCTTAGACCAAGTTACGTTAGTGTCTGCGCTACTATTCCCTAGTGCTTCCCTAACATAAGGGAATACAGTTCTTCAGTAATGCAAATATTCAGTTATCCAAGGAAAACAATGATATTTTAAGGGCCTCTGTCCTATAGGATGTTTTCTCATTAATTGTACAAATAGGCTCTGAGAGATACAAGTCAGAGTGGGAACACTCAGACTTTTTCTGAGTAGGGAAAACAATATTCTGCTGATGGGAAGTAAGGTGACCAACTTGCAGAGCTAGGAAAACAGCCCTAATACTTTGTGCAAGAGATTTCTTTTTTTTTGGATTACAAGTTACCATCACATCTAAGATACGGATATCCCTGCTGTGTGAATACGCTGACCTGAATGCTACTGTTTGCTTAATAACTTCAACCTTCACTGTGAAAGAGCCACATATATAGAATCATAGAATCACAAGGCTGGAAACGACCTATAAGATCATCTAGTCCAGCTATCTTCACACTGCCACTGCAACCACAAGCTACTAACCCATATCTCGCAGCTCCTCGTCCAGACGCCTCTTGAACACTGTCAGAGATGGCGACTCCACCACCTCCCTTGGAAGGCCATTCCAGTGCCTGACCACTCTCTGAGAGAAGTTCTTCCTTAAGTCTAACCTAAACCTCTTTTGGTACAACTTGCAGCCATTTCCCCAGGTCCTGTTTGTTGCCTGGGAGAAGAGGCCATATGCACTTACGTATAGGATCAAGTCAATAAAGCAGATGTTGAAACAAG